AGATCCCACAAGGCCAAAGGCAGTTTGTATCTTGGCTCAAGTGGCTTGAAGGCCACTGTATGCAGTAACTAGTGAGGACCAACAACCCTCAGGTTAGGAGAATATTTTTGTAAACTATGCTTCAGATAAGGGACTGAAAACCAGAATACACAGGGAACTCAAGTGGATTACCTGAAAAAGAAAAGATTACTCAATTAAAAGATGGGAAAATAAGCTGAACAAAAATCTCTCTATACAAACAGCTAAAAAGTATATGAGGAAATGCTCAACATCCCTTATCAGGAAGATGCAGATTAAAACCACAATGAGATACCACCAAACCCAGGTCAGAATGGTGAAGATTAAAAATACAATAAGTGATAAGTGTTGGTGGGGTGATGGTGAAAGGAGAAACCTCCTACACTGTTGGTGGGAATGTAAATTGGTCCAGCCATTGTGGAAAACAACATGGAGTCTCCTCAAAGATTTACAAATAAAACTATCATTTGATCCTGCAATCCCACTTCTGAGTATCTACCCAAAGGACAGGAGAATGCTCAGTCGGAAAAGCACTTGCACGTCAATGTTTATTGTGGCATTATTCACAACTACTAAGACATAGAACCAACTCAAATTATTCACGATTGCTAAGACATAGAACCATCCCAAATGTCCACAAACAGATGAATGGATTGAAAAAGTGTGGCACATACACTTTATAGAATATTATTCAGCCATAAAGAATGAGACTCTGGCATTTAATAGGAAGTGGTCTAATACATAAGATTTATTGCTGAGTGAAGCAAGCCAGTCTATAAAAGAAAGATATTGTATGTATCCACTTAATATATACTGACTATCTTCACTCTCTGGTAGAGATTGAAATATTGGAGGGCATAAAAGCAGTGAAAATAGTTATGGACACTGAAGACAGTGTGGAATGGTGGGGAAAAAGGGAAACGTATAGAGAAGGATAGCACAAGAACAAATAGAGATGCATGACATTTGTGGGACACAGAAATGGTTTCTTACCTGTTAATGATAACATGTATAGTACTGTCTACTGGACTGGTCTGAGAAGTATTTCATATTAGGTAAATTCTCTTAATAAGTCAAATGATGTATAGTGATTGAATGTTTAAAAAAATAATAATAAAAATCTGAAAGAAAATTAAAAGGTATTAGATGATGTGGATAGTAATTGTCTTGACTGATATGCATGGTAATCATGCTGGTAAAAGAAGTATTAGGGACCAGCAGTTAGCATAATGGCTATGTCGCTGAACTCCCATGTAGTCAACTGCGGTTCGAGTCCCAGACCCGGTGGCTTAAACTCATGCTGGGCTCATGTGCGTGTGTGCCCAAGATCCTGAGAGAAGAATGGAGGAGAAGGGATTGCAGCGTGGCCATCCCCCCAGGGGGTGATTTCTCCCTTTCTGTCTCTCTGTCTCTCTCTGTCTTTCTGGCAAGTGCACGCACCCTATAGCAAAAACTTCTCATAAAAAAAAAAGTATTATACACTGTAAAGATATATGTTCTATGTGATTAAATGTAATATAAAAATTAATAAGAAAGCATGTTTACATATGTGAGACACAGAAATGCTTTATTACCTGTTGATGATAACATGTATTGTACAAAATCCTGAAACTGTGCAGACATAGTGGGGAAGGGATTGCAGTGTGACAGTGCTTCATTGGAGCTTCCCCACCTCTGTCTCTGTCTCTGAAATAAATAAATAGATAAAACTCTTAATAATTGCATCTTTTTCCTGCCTAAAAGCCTAGTTTTCCCTCCTTAAGGGCAATATTGCTCCTATTGGAAATGCATGCAGTAAAAGGAAGAGAAATCTCTATTTGTCCTATTGAGAGGGCAAAGAAATAGTTCTCCTCCTTTCCTGATGAGAGGCTTATGCCAATTGTGAAAGAGATTAAGGCAATAAGGAAATGATGTCTTGACAGATTTAGCAACAAGGCTGGCTTTGACCTGCTCAAGGGCAGAGCTGTGGGTAGGGCAGAAGTGGGCAGCAGCTTGGATGGCCGTTGGATACACGCTACCAGTTCCAGAAGGCGGGCTACAAGGGTGTGGGAATAATTAGCAAGAGGGTGACACAAGGTCCAGGAGGTTTTGCTGTATTTTTAAAGATGGGAGACACTTGGCTGTAGGCCATGGGGAGGATCCCATGGAGAGTATGAGCCTAGAGAACATCAAGAAAGGGAATAGGGCCAGCCAGTGGCATGGTGGTTACAGTGACAGGATCCCACATTGCTGACTGCATATTTCAAGACCTGAGCCCACGTGCACATGTGCTCAAAATCTCAAGAGGATGGAGGAAAAGGGATGGTGGCATGGGCACCCTTCCTGGGGGATGCTTTCTCATTTTTCCTCTACTCTGTCTCTCTCCCATGAGCATACATACCTTACAGCAAACAGAACAAGAAAAGAAATGAAAAGAAAAGAAAGGGAATAACTGGGGCCAGCCCCATGACCTGATGGTTAAGGGAGCTGGATCCCACATGGTCTACTATGTGATTCAAGTCCCAAACCTGGCAGGCTGAGAAACATGCCAGAGGTGTGTGCATGCTTGCCCCAAATTTTGATGGGATAGAAAAGTGGAAGAATGAACATGCCCCACTTCGAGGTGATTTCTCCCTCTTTTTCTCTTTTTCTCTCTCTGAAGAGCACATGTGCCCTCTGGCAATTAGGGGGTGGGGAAGGAAAGAAAAGAAAAGAAATAACTGGTTGGGCAAAAGCCTAGGAGGGGCAAAGGAAATCGTTTGCCTAGGGGAGAGAGATTCTAGCTACAGAGAAGGTCTGAAAAGAGAAAGAGGTTTGGATCCTCCCTTTCAGAAAATGTGTGCAGGATGGCCAAGTGGCATCAAGGGCCAACTGAAACAAAAGTTATCATACAGAAGTCAGCCATTCAGCCTGGTTTTTCCTTGAATACCTGCATATGTCTTAGGGACTGGGACTACAACCACGAATCATACAGTTTCTGACATCGGAGCGCCGATGTCAGTCTTCAGCCGAGCTATAAATTCTTAAGTGAGTTCTCTGTAGATGCCAGTAATGGCAATAATTGTAGTGTGTGTGTGTGTGTGTGTAATATGTAATTTATCTAATAATATATATTATTTTCTGTACGTTTTCATGTTTTGACATATTAAAAACATTTTTGTCTGAGGAGAATCTCCTCTCTAGGGCTAGCCAACCCTTTGGAACAGCAAAGAATGTGCCTTTCATATGGAAATGACCCAAATCACAACCAAAGGTTCTCTATCTGGGTGATACTCCCTAGAAGGCAATATTTTTCCCCCTTAATCATCTTAGAGCCAGGTACCACCAAGTCCCTACCATACCCTACGGCATAGAGCTGGCCAAAATTATTTAGTCAGTTCCCAAACTGTTTGCCCTGCTTTGCCTAGGAAACCCCGATCAAAGTTCCAGCCTCAACCTTCCTCGGCTCCTCTCTTCTGTTCATACAGGTGTCTTCCCTCTGTGGCCTTCTGTGGCCTGCTGTGGCTCCATCTCTACGATCTGTGAGTATAATACAATTCATTTTCCAGAGTCTCTGCCATGTCTCCTGTTATGGTAGCACCTGACTGACCGTCCCAGAAAAGAACACAGACAACGATAAATAGAGTAGTATAATGGCAGGACAGATGGTCATGAAGTACTCAGCTGGAGAGGTGACGTTTGACCTGAAGCTTGAATGGTAAGAAAGAAGGAATCTCAAGACAATCTGAAAGTAGAGCTTTCAAAGCAAAATGAATTCCAAATGCCAAAGGCCAAGGAAGAAACAAGCTTAGAGTATTCAAGGGACATCAAGAGACCAGCGTGGTTGAAGCCTGAGGATAGAGAGGAGGGGAGGAGGTCCACAGGGGCCAGATAATAGGCTCTGTAAGGCCATGGGAAGGATCGGGAGTTTGTTCTCATTGCAGTGAGAGGTTTCTAAGCAGAATTTCGCAGCAAGGGTATGACATCATCTATGCCATGTTCAAGAACAACTGCTCAGCTGTAATGAGGAGCGTGGACAGGAGGGCAAGAGAGGAGACCAGTCAGGAAGCGGGGTAGTCTCCAAAACACAAAGGTCAAGGGAGTTAATAGTGACAATGAATAACATGGGAGTTCAGCTTTAGGATTAAAGTCAAGGACAGTTTTTAAAAAATGGCAGAAAGAAAGTGTCTTATGTTGCATCAGAAATGTGGATTTTTTTTTTTTTTGAGAGATTTTTGCTATAAGGCACGTGCGCTTGCCAGAGAGGCATAGACAGAGACAGACAGAAAGTGAGAAATCACACCCGAGGGGGATAGCCACACCACAATCCCCTCTCCATTTTCCTCTCAGGATTTTGGGCATGCCTGGTGTGTGTTTCAAGCCTCTGAGTCCTGAATTTGAACCATGGTTGGCAATGTGGGAGTCTAGCAACATACCATTATGCTATCTGCTGGTCCCTATATGGTCATTTAAAAAAATTAATTTTATTTACTCATTCATTTAAGTTGATGAGAGAGAGAGAGTGAGAAAGCAAACCATCAGGTTCTGGACTCGAACCATTGATGGCCTTGTGGGAGGGTCCAGCGCCTTAATCACCCTGCCACCTGCTGGTCCCCTGGATATTAATTTTTTTAAAAGCTTATTGATTTCTTCAGACAGAGAAAGAAACACAGGCACTTACAAGAGGTTCCCCACACTGCCTCCACCGCAGCCTCCACCAGCCAGGATCATGGACACAGGCACACGTGTGCGGCACACGTAGGGAGACCTCAGCATGTGGCCCTGGGCCCTTCCCCGTAACCCCAGCGTTGTGAAGTGCTGTATGAATGCTCCACCACTGTGGCTGGCCCCAAGGGCGTTCTTTTTAAACTGAAAAATGCACATGATCACGTAGAAATTGATTACTCACATCTAGCCCCTGTCTATTTTACAGATTACTGAAGGCAAGAAACTGTAAAATGATTTGATACATTCTCTCTGCTCCACTCTGCTGGCGTCCTTTTAACACCTTTCGCTCTCTTTTTAGAAGAGCACTCGCCTGAGAGGGAAAAGAGAAAGCATGGTTACGGCCCAACCCCTTCTCCTCCATCTCTCCATCCTTTCGGGATTTGGGGCATGTGTGCACATGCATGTATCAAGCTGCTGGGTCTGGGATTGAACGTGAGGTTGGCCATGTGGGATCCAGCTGCGTTAACCACCAAGCCATGGGGCCAGCCCAACAGACTTAATCTTTTAGAGCAGTTTTTTTATAGAGCAAGAATTAGGAGAATGAGAGGGATGACTAGGTGGGGTACAGAGAATTTTTAGGGTGTACAACTACTCCAAATGATTTTATAATGGAGACATGTCAACAGCATGCGTAAAATGTGAGTGAGCCCTAATGTAAATGGTGGAAAATCACATCAACATAGTTCATCAGTTGGAACGAGTGAACCTCCTGGGTGGGGGAGGGATAGTGATAATGGAAGAGACCATGCATGTGTGGGGGTGGGGAGCACGTGGAAAATATCTGCACCTTTCTCTGTTTTGCCGTGAATCTTTCTAGCATTTTAAAGCCAAATCCTTTATATCTTAACTGTTCCTTGCCACTGGCAGTACAGTGTGTTCTTGACTTACCACTCAGAATAGCATGGATGAAAGCATCGCTCAATATTTTCTAAACCAGAGGGCATTAACTTGTCTAAAGGAGAATGCTTTACGCTTGTGGACCACTGACCTGTAAAGTGCAGGTCAAAAGCGGAGTGTGAACCGCACTCTCAGGGCATGTGCCCAAGTATATACCAAAATGTGCACAGAGGTAGTTTAGAGTAATAAAGGAGGTCTTTGGCTCTTCCTCCTATTCATTGTAATTCTTTATAAATATTTTTATTCATCTTAAGAAAGTGCATATTTTTTTTTAAAAAAGGTATTTCCAAATTGACTCATTTTAGAAAATACTAACATCCATAGAGAGGAAGATTTTCCTAGTTTAAAGTGTGGGGGTACCAGTGTGGGGACAAGCAGATGGCATAACGGTTACGTCGCTGGACTCCCATATAGACATATGGACCACAGTTCATGTCCCAGACCTGGAGGCTTGAAACTCATGCAGGGCACATGTGAGCCCAAAATCTTGAAAGAATGAAGGAGAAGGGATTGTGACATAGCCATCCCCCCGAGGGGTGATTTTTTGCTGTTTCTGTCTCGCTGTTGAGTGCACACACTCTATAGCAAAATATACATACATATATATATATTTATGCATTATATATATATGTATTTCATAACACTATATATATGTGTGTGTGTGTGTATATATAAATATATATATATATATGTGTGTGTGTGTGTGTATTTCATACACATTCTACAAATGAAAAGCATAAAATGTTTATAGTGAAAAACAGGTCTCCTTCCAGCCCTGCCTTAATCACTCCATGACTCTTCCAAGGGGCAGCTACCATTCCCAACTATGTATCTTTCAGAGATTTAATTTATATAAGCATATACTTACTGTTTACAGCAGAGTAAGTAGCATTACATTATATGCTGTTCTAGACTTTTCTTAACGTAGTTTGGAGTTCCTTTCATAATAGAGGATAAAGAGTTGCCGTATTTTTTTTTCAATGTAAGCTTAATATAAAGTATGTTCTAGTCAAGAAATTATATGTCATTTTGCCAATTCAACAGCAGAACTATAAGTGAATCATTAGTTTTCTGACTTTAATCTGAAATAGTTTAACCTTTGATATTTTCTCTCCAATATGGCTCTATTTTCATCACTAAGATTCCTCAGTTTGTGCCCTTCCAACCTCCTCTGACATTTCACACTTAATCTAGTTTAGTCATCTGAACTCATTTTTGATGAGTCAAATATAAATAAATCTAGATGATGTGGCTTAGATGCTTCTTAAGCACAAAGACCAAATGATAAAACAGAAGGACAGGTAAAGGACCGAGGGCTGAGAGTTTGTCAAGTGTGTGCGTGCGTGCGTGTGTGTGTGTCTATCTTAATTCCTCACTTGCAGCTAGATTCTTCTCACTCCAACTTCACATTTGGAGACTAGGGCAAATGCAGTATGAGCTCATGTCATGAATGTGCATTTCTGGATTATTCTAAGCAGTCACCTTCTCTTAGATCATTGCAATTCACAAAGCAAAAGCACTCATCCCAATGTTTCTCTAACACCTTTTCTGATTTCTGTTCTCTCTCTCGATGTAAGCCAGGCAGACACGTCTGCCCAAGATAACTGAGAATGTAAGGGAGATCCTAGCCTGGGCAGCTTGTGCAGGCTGTGTGCTAAATGCAACTCTGAAGCTTGCCCTATAAATAGCCATTCATTGTCAGCCTGTGTGAAAAGACAAGAGAGGGTGCGGTCTGATTCAGGCCTAAGGAGGCAGTTGCATCTGGGCAGGGCAGTAAACGAACTAGCTGTTCTAACAGCTGATCTAGTCGGCTGGTGGCCGATTGGAGCTGGGCAAAGGGAAGCTGTTCAATGCTGCTTTTGCCTCCGCTATGGCAAAAATCATTCTAAGGCACCTCATAGAGACTCCAGTGCGTTACCAGGAGGAGTTTGAAGCCCGAGGTTTGGAAGACTGCAGGTTGGATCACGCATTATATGCGCTGCCTGGGCCAACCATCGAGGACCTGAGAAAAACCAGGGCAGCGCTGCCTTCTCCAGCAGAATCAGCACCAGAGATGCCACCCCAAGAAGGCAAATCCCGCTTTCAGATTCTGTTGGATGTGGTTCAGTTCCTCCCCGAAGATATCATCATTCAGACCTTCGAAGGCTGGCTGCTGATAAAGGCTCACCATGGAACCAGAATGGATGAGCATGGTTTTATCTCCAGAAGCTTCACCCGACAGTACCGGCTACCAGATGATGTTGAAACTAAAGATTTGTCTGCGATCCTCTGTCATGATGGAATTTTAGTGGTGGAAGCCAAGGATCCAGTTGGGACCAAGTGAAACCTCATCAGTTCCTGTTCAGTCAACATGAGGAAGATGCTAGTGCAGCCCGTGTACCACAAGCACGCGTGTGCTTCTCAACGTTTGAAATGATTTGCTATGGTTTTTATGAAGATTAAAAATATGTACACAGTTCCTGGTACGTCAAGGTTGTCTTTATTATTCTTAGAAAGGAAAATTGTTAAGTGTGAGGGATTCTCAAAAAAGTTCATGGAAAGTGTATATTATGAAAAATCTAGGCATGGGATTTTTATTTATTTTTTCCATGATTTTTTGAAGTAATTCTTGTATGTCCATATAGCTCAAACCAATGTTATTCTTAAAAATAAAGCATTGGAAATTTGGGAGACTGTACTTTGATACTAAAGAGGACTCCCTTGTGTCTTCATTGAAAAGGCTTAGAGGCTGCATCATAATAATTGAAGGCAAAAAGCCATATTCATTTAAGGAATTATTATGTTTTACTAATGCCTTTCATATTGCTAAAAAACTTGTATTTCTCTTCATTTGATAAGCTTTTCCTTTCAATGTATTTTAATGAAAACAAAGCTTTGTAAATACACAGTCCGAAGGCGAAAGGACAGCAATTAGAAACTGGATCTGAAATCTATGAGTCATCGTTGTTACTGCCTTAAACATCGATTGGAATTTTCAGATATAAATCTTATTTTTAAAATACACACACACACACACACACACACACACACACATATATATATCTTTCATTTTTTCTTAGTTAGAATCTTATAGGAGTGATTTTTTAAAGACAGTGTTTGTTCTGTGGATACTTATAAAATAGTAATAAGATATGTATTACCCCAAATTCTTATAAAAAAAAGTTTTAAGTTAGGAGATACTTTAGAAGTTCAATGACTGTATTCAGTGCATTTTAAACCATGCTATTTACATGTTGCTTTACATGTTAGATTTCAGAAGATGGCGAGATGTAATGCATCTGCTGTCTCTGCATAATCCTGAGCTTTAAATAGCCCAGCAGCCCTGGCTGCTAGGGCACCTGCGCTTACCCAGAGCCTGGGAATTCACACAGCCCATCTGACGATTGCAGCTTATTCTCTCCCAAACTGCTGCTTTGGCTCAAGGATGGTAAAGGTTATGGAATATGCCTTCACCAGCTGGTCTGTGACATTCCAAAGGTTTGCTATCTCATTCTGTGCATACTAAATATTTCTTCAGAGGAAGTAGCTGCTTTCTTTTTTACCCTGCACGGAATGTGAGCTGACAATGAGCCCAAGGGCAGCGCTAAGAATAGAAGAGGGACTGAGGGTGTGGAAAACCCCAGGGTAAATGCAGACTGCCAGCAGTGTCAGGGAGCTCCTCCATCTTGCTTTATCTGTAGTTCAAGCTAAACCTCAAAAGACATGAAGCAATAGAAAAATAAGTAAACGGTTCTAGAAGGAATTTTGAAATCAACTATAATCTGAGAGAGATGTTTACTGTTTTCCTTTTTTTTTTTCCTGGAGAGGTTTTTGCTACAGGATGCGTGCACTCGCCAGAAAGACAGAGACAGAGAAACAGAAAGTGAGAAATCACCCCCTGGGGGGATAGCCACACCACAATCCCTTCTCCTCTCGGGATATTGGGCACGCACACACACACGCACCCAGCGTGAGTTTAAGCCACTGGGTGGGTCTGGGACTTGAACCGCGGTCGACTACATGGGAGTTCAGCGACATAGCCATTATGCTAACTGCTGGTCCCTTTACTGTTTTCCTAAGGCAAAAGGACTTTGATGTTACCAGCTTATGTGGGTTACTGCCTATACGCTGAAGTTGTGTTTATATCTAGGATAACAATTTGGTTTGACAAAGTATCACAAAACAGCATGGTCACATAACAAAGCTAATAGTAATCAGTGGGATTCCAGACAAACTAATATGATTAGAACTGAGATACCATTCACATCAGATTATTATGTTTGCCCACTAATTGGCAGGCCAGTGTGAAAGCAAACTCATGCTGGGAGAAACAAAAATTTCTCTCATTTGGTCTTGGTTTCACTCTAGATTAGATCCTGCTTTGGGAAAAATTCAGGAAATGGAATTCCTTGCACAAGGCACCATGACTAGAAATTGTTCCTTTAAAAATGAAAATAAACACATTCCCAGATAGCACTTTTTTCCTCTCAGGTAAATTTCAAGTCATATGTAGCCAATTTTTGATTTGGAAAATATACCAAACACTCTAAGAAACTCCATTTATTCTACTACTCTGAGGTAGCTATTCTAAGTATCTAGTTCAATCTTCTCATATATGAATATACGTATCACTTCTCACAAAATTTGTGTTAAGTTTATTTTTGATTCACGATAGAGAACTAGTGCACACGCATAGTAACGAGAGAGAAGAGCTTTTGGTCATTCCCTGATCCCTTCCCTGGCCCTCCAGCTGGTCTGGATCTTGGGTATTTGCACCTCGCATGTTTTAGGTGAACCGGGCAGGATTTAAACCCTGTGGTCGCTGTGGCTTCCAACACTGCAGTTCAGAAGCTATCTGGCTGCACCACAGAGGCTGGGCCTCGCACAATGTTTGTTATCCTTACTGTACTGCTTACTTCTCTTGCCTTCCCCCACCACAAACCCAAACCCCTTTCTATGCTTCCCAGACCTCTCTGAACCAAGGCAGGTTGACCCCTACAGTGACATCATTCTAGTTTCCAGTCTGCTTCAGCCGATAGAGAGCACTAGCCAGAGACCAGAGATTGGAGAAAGAAGATCCGTGGAAGGGAGGGAAGAAAGGTCAGGTTGTTTCCTCCTTGACTCCCAACCTGCTGCAGACTGAGGCTCTGGTGGGGCCTGTGTCCTTCCATGACTGCTGCTCCAGGGCTCCCAGTCTTACTGGGCTCTGGCTTTGCAGTACTGTGTCCTCCATTTGTCCCTTC